ACACCATAGGTCTTTTTATGAATATGGTTCGTGCCGTACATACGCTCGCGATCGCCGATATAATCCTCGCGACGCGCCTTGCGTTCATGCGTCATCGGAGGAGCGCACGCGCTTTCGAAGTAAGAAGAAAGTATCGCGGTTAGGCGAGATACATATCGGCCGCACGAAGGGGTTTACAGCGTTCAACTGTCGCCACCCTCACTCGAGTTACCACGCACGACTATCGTCGCGCACGATAAAATATCGCCCGTGCCGTGCACGGGCGAGCAGGCTTCGTCACGCTTTATTTTCCTTCGCCTCGCCGCGAGCAAACTATCCTAGATAGTCTGAATTATCAGTCTCCAAATAAACTCGGGCGTTACGGGGGCGCGCGCGACCGCACGGAGCGCCCATGTAAACGCAATTGCACGCAGCGCTTGTCGTGAACGGCGTGAGCGCCGCTCGCGTTTCATATGTGCGGTTCTAATTTTTTCGCTGGAAATTACGTGCATACTCCGCGGTATCGCGAAGTTCGCAGAGCGAGCGTTTCGCGCGAAACACCCACGTTGACCGGCGTTCGGTTGTGCGAGAGAAGCCGTTTCGTGCTCTCCGTCTAGAACACGAGATTTGGCGCGTTTACCTCCCACAGATCGATCCGACGACGACGAGATGTCGGTGACCGAGCGTACGTCGCGTCGGGGCGTTCCGGAGCGATGAGACGGCCGGTCGGAAAAAACAACGATATTATAACCCCCGGGTTTTCTGGGTTACGACGCGGCGGACAGACGCCCTTGTGAAAATATTGTTTCAACGCGCCAAGGAAAAAGAGAAGAAAGAGAGAGAGAGAGAGAGCGAACGATAGAGACTTCGCGGATCGACCGATATTATTTCAGGACCGAAATGAGGAGGCTTCTTTGTTAGCAGTTAACGGTGCCGGTGTCGTTGTCTGGTCTAGACACTGCTACTCGGACGATCGTTCGCCGCGAACGAGCGACGATCGCGGACGACAGGCGGAAGTCGCGTTTTATTATGGGACAGCGTGTATGTCTTGCCTGCAAAAATAGCAGGAGCGAGGTGGAAAGCAGTCGAGCGACTCTCCGCGCTCCGTGCATTTTACTTTATCAGAGCTTCGAATGTAAAAAATTATCGGCGTGTGTTTTTTCCTCGTGCGCTGATAGAAAATGATAATTAGCTTCGGCGGCAAATATATTTTATGGCAGCAGCAGCGCGCATGTAAGGCTATTATCACTGATATGGCAACACTCCGAGTCGAAATTTCAAATTCTACATTAAGTCTTCAGGAAGAAAACGGAAATAAGTTTCTACTTATAGCGTCATAAGAGTAAATGTTCGTTGAATGCTGCAAATGAGAGTTGAGATTTTCCGAGTCTAAATTTTAATTCCACGTTAAGTTTTCAAGCGCAGAAAACGACAATAATTTCTCCATTTGTAATATCAAAGGAGCACAATGGAAGACCTTTCAAGAATGTAGAACTAAATTAGACTTAAGGTAGAACTAAAACTTCGACCCGGGACTTACTGGGAAAATGATTCTCCCGACTGTTTTTGTAGTTAAAGAATATATTTGGCGCCGGCAACTAACTGTAATTTCCTAATCAACGCGTGTGTGAATAGCGTATTTTATGGGTGCTTGATAATGATAAAATAGTCAATGTGCGATAATGATTCCGGTGGAGGTCTGGCGTTTCGCTTCGGATGAATCGAGTATCTTTCATGCGCTTCCGCGAACTAAATCGGAAAAGATTATTGAATTAATGCGACTTTATGGTAATACGCGAAGGAGGCCAACGTAAGCAGTCTAAGAACAGACGGTGACTGTCCTCCGCTTAATCACTCGCGCAATGAATTAATCATGAGGGATCAGCGACTGTCAATCTCCTTGCTCGCTTTATCGCGGCGAGGACTAATGTTCGGCTGATCCAATTTCAAGGGTTTTTTCGCCGGAAGGTATCGACGTGTATCGTTTTTCGGTAATCTGCTTTCTCAGCGAACGAGCGAGCGAGCAGGTAGCGCGACGGGAAACTGCAATCGATCGCCGGGAATGCGAGAGAGAGGTCGGTGTTTAAAGAGTCATATTGCACACACCCTAGCTGCATCATTACTCTCCATATATTATTACCACGGAGATTGATTTCTCCGAGGAAAACAAATCGAGCAGTCGCTATCGCGGCGGCCGCGCGCGACCTTTGCCATCGGCAATAAGGGTTGTTTATGTGCTGCGGAGCGCGATATACAAGGTGTCCGTGACTGCCACGTGTGTCGTATCAACCGTGTCGACTCTTGAGGCATCGATTTCACGATGCGGATTCACTCGGCAAAATTCCCACACGAAGATATCACTCTCTGTAAACAACGAGCCTCGGATTACGGTTTCGCTAGTTTCGAAAAGTATCGAGCGAAGATTCAAATTTCATCGTTGCTTTTCGCACGTTCAACGTTCAAGAGGCCTCGCCGTCTGTAAAATCTCGCTCCCAGGACTGGTGCTTGAATAATGGAAGGATGATTCCGCGACACCCTGTACGTTACACGCGCGTGTATAATGAATGGTACGAATGCAAATGCAACGGCCGGCCCGATATCCGATACCGCCAGTGAAACTCCGATTTTATGACCGCGCGGAGTCGATATAACGCCATTATGCGACGTCTTTCTCCTTCGGAAAACAATAATTCGCGTCCGGCCGGATTCGTGATTACGACGGCCATCGTTTATTTCAATAACGAGGCGCGATAAACGCTGCACTCGCGACTCGCAGCTCAAATTAATTATAGAGTCAAGGAGCGAACTATCGTATAAACCGGATGTCGCGTCGGGAGGAACGATTAGCCCCGCTCGGCGATGGTGTATAACCGCGCTTGGAAAATCGCTTTATATCATTTGCGTTATTAATTATTGAGAATCTTCAGGTTGTAACCAACTGTTAAATTCTGTCACATCTTTACATTTCTCTCGCGGGAATTTCGTTCGAAACCTCGAATATCATATCTGAAATTGATCTGTGTTTCTCTCTCTCTCTCTCTCTCTCTCTCTCTCTTTCTTCCTATTATTTTATTCCACGTTCTCTCAATTTACGGTGAAATCAAATCATCACGATTATTTTGGTCGTCCGCTGTCACGATTGACCTAGTCGTGTCCGATGAAACGGTAATAAGCGCGCGGATTTCGCGGAGAGGTGGCCTCGTAAATACGTAAGTTGGATCGGTCCGACGTAGATTATACTTCAATTGTGAAATGAATGAGTCCTCGCCAGAACCGGTTGTATTCTTAGACACACGTGAGTCGTCGTCATCAGTAATTTAGGATCGACGGACCGATAATCTTCGTGCATAAATGGCGAGAATCTCCGGCGCGCAATATTAATTGAACATTGTTGCTTTCGCGACACGTAAGATTCGTTCGATAGCGGCAGCCTCTGCGTTTCTTTCATCGCAGCGTCGATTTTCGTTTCCGCGATGTCGCGACGGTCCAATTAGAAGCTACGTGTAGCACGAACGGTTGATTCAACAACCGAGCGAATACGGGAAAGAGAGAGATTCTTATCTCTTGGCACAAGTAACCAGACTGCAAACGCATAACCCTCGAAGCGAACCATAAATTCGACCGCACCCCTTCTGCGCCCGTCTGTCTCCTTCCTCTTTATCCCCATTACACGGTGAGTCACGTCACGGGGTAGTTGGCTGGCGATCTGCCCGGTGCAGTCGTTGTCTTCTTATCGCCAAGGTTGCTCGATCAAGCTGCAACGAAACTTCGTAGTGGCGTTAAATTAAGAAAAAAAGAAAGAAACGCGGATGTCTCCTTTCTAACGCGAGTTGCACGATGTATGGCAATGCCTATTGAGAACATTTAACGCTGCCGTATTAAATGAACTAACTTTGTTGTTACACATTAAATGAGTTAATTCTCGGAGATTCTTCGAATAATGGCATTTTGAGAGTACGTTATAAATACATATATAATTTAACGTTTAACAGTCGCATACGTACGATTATTTCTTAGGTCTGATTATCTTTGAGATTAGGTTTCGTACTCCGTTATTGTAAAGGATTTCATGATTCGAGAACTTTGAAATTGTCGTATCACGCATTAGTTCGAATATCTGATCTTCCCAGCAAAATTGTTAGTCTCTTCCATTTGAGCGTGCGCAGAATAAATTCCTTAGGAAAGTCAGCTTCAGCTTATCATAAATATGGATCGATATCGAATTAGGGTTAATATCATTGCACAGTGAAAGAGAACTCTATTATTTCTTTTGAGAATTCTCAGGGGTGTAGCTGATTGCCCGGAATCTTAAACTTAATTAGATTTAATTTACCCGGAAGATCGCTCAGACGGTGTCTGCTTATCCACGAGGGAAGACATAGGACTTTATACGGGAAATTTAAATTATTCAACAGATTATTTATGATTGGCAATTCTTTTCATTACTTAGATGATATTTAACATGTCTTTGCACACCTACAAGCGCATCATTATTGAGTACTTAAGCGAGTCATCATAATCTGCCTTTTTATTTACATGTATTTCTTTCTCATTATTATATCACGAACATAATGTACTAAAGGGAAGAATCATTTCCCGTGTGAACGGACAAATAAACACATAAATAATCACGAATCAATTAAAATAAAGATTTCACGTTGGGAAGAGCACGAAAATATAGTAGCGGAGAACTAAAGAAAATAAAGAGAGTGAAAGAGGATGAGTGTTATCGGCGAAGGCAAAAAGGCGATTTACGTATAAACAGTTTACACGCAAACGTAAAGCGAAGTTTTCGCGACGATTCAACACGAGGCGAAAGCGCATTTTCTATTTGTACTTGGGAGACGCGTCGGTACGCCACGCCCTGCGGCGGTCGCACCGAGGGTGTGCGAGGAAAAACTGGGGTAAGAAAAACGAATGAACGACGACGACGACGACGACGCGACGCGGCGCGTCGCCGGGGTGAAAGGGGGAGGCCGGTTGCCGAGGGAGGATGAGGAAAGCAACGAGACGCAGGGAAATTAAATAATAATAAAGTGTATTAAAAATCGTATACAATTCGAATATACGCGTATGTATATACACGCGCGAGTGTGTGTGCATATATATATACACATATATGTGTTTCCTTTTTTTATATATATATATACTTTTTTCTTTCGCGACCGACGGGGAGACGGTCGATTACATCATCTACGGTTACTATGGCAACGTAAAAAAAATTGTACAAAGCGACCGGCGCGGCGGCCGCGTGTACGTCAAACTCGTCGTCGTGCGCGAGCCGCAGAACATAAATGCTGAACGAGGAAAACGCACGGATGATAAAAGAAAAGAAAGGGAGGCGAAGAGAGGAGCGGGCGCTCTCCGATATCGCGCTTCGTTCTTCTCGAGAGGTAATCAGCCGCCAGCCGCGGCTCGCCTCGTCTCGAAACACACTCGTTATTACACACAGTATTTCTCCATTTTATTGACAATCAGTGTGACAAAAAGTGACTTACAAATACTCGCTTTATAAAGAGACTCCCGTTCTCTTTCTCTATCCTCGTTTTCCTCTACGCCGCGTCCCGTCAATACCACTTTCGTCGCGCGTGGATCTCTTCGGCAATCCGCGAGCGAGCGAACGAGAAAGACAGAGAGAGAGAAAGAGCGAGACCACCGCATTTCCGGTACTTACGATCTCGACGCTCGGCATCCTGGCACTTCGCTCGCATTCTACCTCTCACTTTCTACCTCCCCCCTCCCCCCTCACGCTTTCGCGCGCGACATCGATTACTTCTTCCCTCCTTCCCTCCCCTCCCCTCTTATGCATTGGAGTGATATGTGGACACTAATTGTAAAATGTCTTTACTCTCGCGCTACTTTTATTTTCTTCTTTAATAACATTACGCGTGTACGTTCCGTTTGGCAGAGGTCTCCGTCTAAGACACGACGGTTACGCATTTCTTTCCTTTAAGTTGTACGAGACAGTTTGTCCGTTTCTTACCGCGCGCCCGCTTTCTGCATCTCCCTCGTAACGGAGAAATTAGCCGGGCAGCGATCCGCGCGATTGTCCCTATTGACGGTGTATCTTCCTTCTGTTCACCGTTTCCTCCGCTCGTCGTGAAGTTTAATCGAGCCGAGAGAGTTTCTTGCGTTATTGCGTTTCGTCGTCGGATCTCCGGGGGAACCCGGATAAATATATCATTCGTTCGCTCGATCAAACACGGTCTCACACACACAGTCGCATTTCATTACGTCCGGTCGTAGTTCTATCGCGAGATAAACGGCGGCGCCGGAGAAGTTCCACGATATCTCTCGCGCTTTCTCCGCGCTTTTTCCGGCGGAGATCCCGAATGCACGATATTACCGGTGACTGGCATATGGTGCGCGCGCGTCAGCAACGCCGCCCTACAATACGTGTTTAAAAGGGCTCGCGCGCGACGCCTCCTCCCGTAATACGTCTCGTGCGTAATCTCGCTTTGGCGCTACTTCTAAATCACCGGGACTTACATACGCGCGCGTGCATAATTTTCCTCTAACCCGCTATCCTCCGGAGGGGGTGTATAAATTTCCTTCCGGGGCTGCTTCGCGCCCCCGGGCGAAGCAGGGCGGCTCTCGAGCCCCTTTTCGCGTCCTCTTCCTCCTCCGCTATCGCGCCGCCCTTCGCGACACGTGCGAAGCAGCCGATCCAACGGTAAAAATACAAAGGCGTCGCGCCGTTCTCTCTCCGTTCTGTGTTATCATCGGTGCCCCGCGAACGCGACGGAAGTGACACGCCTTTACTTACGGTATAAAAAGGTTCGACCTAGTACACCGACTGTTAAATTATATTGTGATCTTCGCGAGGCGGACCTATGTATATATATATATATATATGTGTGTGTGTGTTTTTTACTTATTATATATAAATATATATATATATATATATATATAATATGTATTGTTACGCACTCGTTGGACGCGCGCATGGATTCTTCCATTCTGTGACGACGATCGTCCGCTCGTGGCGACGGGAGTGAAATCTAAATCGATAATATTGCGTACAACAACGCGCGGATTAATCCGGACCGCGTTATGCAACCTTTGGAACCAAGAGTCATTCTTATCGTATAAAGTAAGAAATAAAAATAGGAAAGCAAACATACGATCTAAAGACTCGATACGTATATAGTATGTATTTCGGAGAACGTAACGTAATAACAGATTCTGCCGGATCTCATGAACCTTCCTAAAATTTTCGTTAAATATCAATAAAATCGGAGCAGCCTGTCTCCAATCGAGAGAGAAACGTCAATGAAACGTGAAATTAGAAAAGAATATTAAAATGATTATAAAATGACAAATTTAAAGAAAAATAAAGTAAACGTACGATCTGAAGACTCGATATAATACAAGTATTTACAAGTCGGAGAACTTAACGAAACGACAGATTCTTCGTCAGATTTCATCAATCTTCCTCAAATTTTCGTCAAATGTCAATTAATTCGGAGCAACCTGCTCCTGATCGAGAGAGAGAGAGAGAGAAACGCGTCAACGTGAAACTAGAAGGGAATATTAAGAATGATTGTAAGCTAAATTTACCAAATCATCAAAAGACCCGAATCTCGCGTAGCTTGTCTCGAGGAAAGTCAGCGAAAGTGGCGGATTATAGCTCGACATTGCAGAACGCGGTCCAACCGACGAACCTAACCCGCTGCATTGCGGCCGAACGGCAAGTATTGACTAACGATTGCTCTCTCTGTGAAGGGACCGCGCGTCGACGATACGCTCGCCACGAACGCGATCGCCCGTCCTCGCGTTTATCGGGAAAAAAAGAAGAAAAAAAAACACCCTACAACGTGCCTGGCGACCGTTTTTATTTACAGCGCGACTAATATCTAAGAACAATATTTACATTAGTCTATTTCCCCGCCTCGTTGCTCCTTCGACGACTTGCCTATACACACACTCGTGTCCTATCTGCGGTTCGCCACAGGCGGCAGCCTGCTCTCCTCTGGTCGGTGAGCTACTTTCAGACTTTCGCGATCTCTCTGTCGCGAGGCGTGGCAGTGGGGAAGAATTTGGTTCGGTCGTTTCGCGAGAAGGACCCGGAGTAAGGGACCTCGAGGACTCGTCGAGGACACCGCGGCAGTTGCCCTCCTTTTTCGAAGAGGGTGGGAAGAGAGAGCGAGCAGGCCGCCGCTTTCGCACGATGCGACACGCGTCGCACTCGTGCACACACACACACACCTTCGACGTGGCTTCTGCTCTTTTAACGGCTAGATTAGATAAATAGACGAGACGATACACGTTAGACGGACACCGCGGGCTTTACGAGCGCCGCTACGAGAATGTAAGAAAGATTAGAGAGAGAATAGATAGATAGATACGGATAAAGACAGAGAAATCTATCGAGCGTCCGCTGCTCGCGCGCAGCTCTTCGTTCACGAAGTCTTTCGTCTAAATCACAATCTCACTATACCGCGGCACTCGAGCGATCCCCCCCTCTGCCGGCGTTCGCTTCCTTCCACCGCGTCTCGTTCCACCAGGACTCGGTTCTTCGCATCGACCGGCGAGGAGGCGTCATCGACGACCGCCCCGATGAGCTTGAAGAGAGGATTTCTCGAGATCCCCGCGGGAGAAGAAGACACGTACAGGCTAATATAATAATAATAATGAACATTATTATTATTACGAATACGTATATCGGGTAATGGCGAGGAGCACCGATGACGAGGGTTCGCCTCACACCTCGGTGGCTTGGGTGTAGGAAGGCGCGATGCCGTGGGCCGGCGTGAGCGGTCCGGTCGCGGACGCGAGCGATCTCCTCGAGTATATCGTCGCGGCCGAGTGGGGGGTGTGCGGCGCGGTGTGCGGTGCCGTGTGCGACGCGTTGTGCCTGCGCGAGGCCGAGGCGAAGGGCTAGATGGGCCCGTAGTTGCTAAGGGCGGAAGGCCTCTCCTGCTGCGGCTGCTCGCATCCAGCGGTGTTCATGTCGCCTCCCGCCGACTGGTGACGTCATACGTGCGAGAGCGGAGGTTGCTTGAGCACGTGATGGTGGAGGTGGTGCTGGGACGCGCTGGCGACACTGCCGGGCGGCAGGAGGGCGCTGCCCGGGCCGGGCGCGGGTGGATACGGCACGCGGCCGACGACACCCTTGATGCTGGCGCTGCCGATACCGCCGCTGACCCCGGTCACGCCGGCCACCATGCCGGCGGCGGCCATGTGCCCGGTCGCACCGTGATCGCCGCCGAACAAGCGCCTCCACAGCCGCTTCCAGGAGTCGACCGTCTTGCCGCTCCAGATCCAGACGCCGGAGGTGATGCCGACCGCGAGCGCCATGAAGTATTTCAGCATGAGGACGAAGTAGAGCGGCCTCGCTCGCGGCCGGCACGGGCACGCCAGCGAGCCGAGCCACTCGTCTCGCAGAGCCGACTCGTAGATGTGACAGGCCAACACTATTCCCGCCGGCAGGGTGTAGAGAACGCTGAACACGCCGATGCGTATCATCAGCTTCTCGAGCTTGTCCGCCTTAGCGCCGGGCTGCCGTTTGATCACCGATCGGATACGGAAGAGGCTGACGAAGCCGGCGAGGAGGAAGCTCGTGCCCAGCAGCAGGTAGACGAACAGAGGCGCCAATATGAAGTTGCGCACACCCTCGGGTGCCACGGTGCAGACCCCGGCTACCGGATCACCGGCTACTCCGCCGGCGACGTACGCACAAACCGTCTGCACCGTCGGCGCGAGCCAGGCCACCAGATGGAAGTACTGCGAGTACGACGCTATCGCCTCGTTGCCCCACTTGAGGCCGGCCGCGAGGAACCACGTGAACGCCAGGATCACCCACCAGACCGAGGAGGCCATGCCGAAGAAGTAGATCATGAGGAAGACGGTGACGCAGGCGCCCGGGCCCTGAGCGCCGGACTTCAACGCCAGACCGTCGCAGGCGATTTCCTCGTGGCCGAACACGCTCCTCGACAGGTAGCCGACCGAGACGACGAAGTAGCAGGCCGAGAGGAAGACTATCGGCCTCTCAGGATACTTGAAACGCTGGGTGTCGATCAGAAAGGTGGTGACGGTCACCAGAGTGCTGGCGGCGCACAGTCCGCTCCACAGAGCCAGCCACACGGCTGCGAATCCTCGCTCTTCGGTGGTGAGAAACGCGCCGTGGCACGGCAGGGCGCAGTCTTGCACCCCCGCAATGTCCTGGATGACGTTGCGGCCGATTCCCATTGGCGGCGGCGCCGGGATCGCTCCACTTACGGTCATGCCGGCCAGGCCGACCCCGTTGCTGGTGCTTCCGCTGATGCTGCCGCTGACGCCGCCTATCGGTCCTGGTAATATCGTGCCCACCGCCCCCAGGGGCACGAGGGGCGCCCTGCACCTGCACGCGCAATCCCTCGTCCTCTCCCCCGGGGGGTGCTGGCAGTTTTTTTGGTTCTTACCCGGCTTGCAGCGGGCTGGTTGCGCGGTCTTCGAGGGTCGCGTGGGTCGCGCCGGCGAACCCGGCGGCGCCGGGGCGCCGCTGCTCGGCGAGCCGATGCTGCCGGCGCCGCCGCCGGTACCTGTGCTGCTCGTGCGATTGTCCTGCTCCATGCAGAGGCGTTCCGGGTCGCCGTGATTCGGCAATCGGTCGCACGCCATACGCTCCGGCCACGAGAAGCCGTACTGCTGCATCAACGGCGCGCAGCCGGCGCGCGCTCGCTCGCACACGCTGCGGCAAGCCGGCAACGGTTTCGTGTACTCCGGCAGGCAGATCGGCGTGTACATGGAGCATAGGAAGAACTTGAGGTCCGGCGAGCACTTGATCTCCACCAGTGGCCAGAACTGATGCACCTCCAACCCGGCCTCGTCCTGACTGTCGTGATTCAGCTCGTTCGGCATGGCGGTCAGATTGTAGCCGATGCCGCGGCACATGGGAATCGTGATCTCCTCGCAACGACCGTTCCCGCCGCCGCCGATCGCGGAGTGTCCACCCCCGCCGCCGTTCGCGATGCCACCACCGGCGGGGGTGGACACTCCGCGATCNATGCCACCACCGGCGCCGCCCATCACGCCGTTTCCGCCGTTCGCCACGCCGCCCATGCCGTTGTTGCCCGAACTGGAACCGCCGTCGGACACCACGCCGATCGACGACGAGGAGGACGACGACGACGACGAGGAGGAGCCGGACGAGACACCTGAGCCTGATCCCACGCTACCTACCGGACTGATCGCCGATTCCGACCGTGCGTCCGACAACGTCGTCGCGAGCACCAGCAGCATCAACAGACCCGCCATCGTTCGGGCTGGGAACAGCTTCGTCCGTCGCGCGGGTCTCGTGTTCAAGGACGGCCGGCTCATGGCTGCATAGCTCGCATAACTGCCCGCCTGCAACAACGTAAGCGAAAGGGCTACTTTTATCGATGACGTTTCAACACGCTGGAATCGTTTAGCTGACGCGAGCTCGCGAGAAGCACGAAGCAGGTGCGTGGGAAAAAAAAGGATTCCGCTGCCGCAGCCAATCGCGGTTTGGCTGAAAATGTTCCGCCGCTGCTGCGGCCAAAAATTTGCCGCCGCGAGCAAACTCCCGAGCCGCTGTTGCTAGATGCATAGGTGCCGCATATACGCTGACATACGTAGCCAAACTTGTAGGTGTTAATTCACATGTGCTAATTAAATTCCTGTTGTAACACACGGGCATCCATAAGTTTAGCTACAGTAGACATATATGAAATACGGCGCCACGTGTACACCCGGCGACGAAAGTTCGAATTACAGCGGCAAATTTCCAGCTAGAGCGGCGAAAGCCTCGACCACGATTAGCCGCGCCAGCAGGATCTTTCATTTTCCACGTGTAATACGCGAGCTATTGCATTCTCCTCCGAGTCTGGGAGGTGGGAGAGACTCGTGTGTCTAATTGAATGTTTCACCTTTAATAGGATAAGAAGGCGGTATTTCGCGATAAGCGCGCTCGAATCTCATTAACGCACCGCAGTCTTACGTGTGATTCATCGCATTATCCGTCCTTAAGCCTTTCCAGTAATAGTTCGCCAACGTCGGGACCGTAATCGCTAATAACACGTTTCTGCGGATAGAGCGTAATCCGCCGCTACGTAGGAGGGAATATTTACCGGAGATCGGATATTTATTGCGTTCGGCCGGGAGCGGCTAGAGCAGATGCGAGCTTAATCCCGGTGCGAGGAGAAGCCGGCGCGCACGTACCTACGGTACCATCGTCGCTTCGTTTGCAATTCAGACTATCAAAGCGCGGGCCCGTTTCGGTAACCCGGTCGGGTGGATCCGCTCTTTCGTAAAAGTCCGAGCCGGCGATCGATGCCTAAATAGCTGGCGCGGGATGCGGCGTCTGGCCGACCGTTCGCTCGCTCGCTCGCTCGACCTTAACGAGCAAGGGCGTAGCGCTCGGATGTCTCGTACATAAATCAACGTCGGTGTTTCGATCGTTCGCTAGATACGCGCGCTCGGAACCGGTACGCTCTCGCGGAGAGAGCCGGGTCTCGAGCGATGCGATCGCGGCGCCGTGCTCCTCGGTGAGCCTCGGCAAATTTATGGATAACAAATGACGGCCGAGGAGTAGAGTCTCGTTCGTGAATAAGAAATAACTCTTCCCGTCTCTGTGAAGAAAAATCCATCCGTGCGCCGGATGTAAACAGCGGTGCGCGCGCTCCGATATAACTTCGCTCGCGAGCCGCGTGCTTCACACACCTCGGCGTTCGGGCGATTTTTTTATTTTCAATTACATATACAACGAATCCGGTATTCATGACGAGCGGGTAACGAGGGGACGAACTTTCACCGAGATTACCGAGTGAATATCTACTCGGCGAATGCGCGAACTACGTCGGGACATCGGAGCCGATCGGCGAACGGAGGGTGGAGGAGGTGGCGCGGAGAGAGGCTAAAGAGTACACAACCGAGAAGAATGGACGGAGAAACCGGCGAAGACGACGAAAGAGAGAGAGAGAGAGAGAGAGAGAGAGCGGGGGGAAGGGATCGAAACAGTCATGGATCTTATAATAGTCGACCCGCGGAAAACACGTGACCGGAGCGAAATGTTATTGTAGGAGGCGGGTGTTAGTTTTACCGTTTGTTAACTGCTAGCCGCGTCCCGACGCGGGCGTCGCTATTTATAAAGCCGCCCGTGCCGGCGCGTTATACACCCGCGTTGGAATAAGGGAGAACGATGGAGGTGGAGGAGAGAAGCCGACGTCGCTACGTGTGTGGCTCGGATCCCGATACGGCCGATTGGCGCGTACGAAATGCATCGGCGAGATGCATCCGCCGCAGCTGCACGGAAGCGAGGTCTCAATAGAGACGTATACGCGCGCGCCGGGGCTTTTCGCCGCGCGGAGTTCGCGCGGCCACGGAGTGCGCGTACAGAATTAACCCGTCAACGACGGCTGCACATCGCGATGATCTCTCCTTCTTCCCCCCCCCCCCCCCCNACATGTATACCCCCCCATATCCGTCTATCTATCTCTCCTCGATTCTCGCGGCTTCGCACGAGAAGAGGGAGATTTTCCAATCTCTCGTCGGCGATCGCGTCGCGTCAAGAACAGTTTACCCCGAAAAACGACCCCGGCGCAACGTTTCATCCAGCACCGTCGTTTGCCTTTCATCCACTACTCTCGGAGAAGGAGAATTACGCGCGGTCGATACCTCCGGAGGATCGCGCGCGCGTTGCGATATTCGATACGTTGGATCCGATCCTGCGGGCGGTTGATACGTCAAAAGCCAACGATTCGAGGAACTATTATGCATAAAACTTATTCGACGAAATGAGTATCCATTAATGCGTTGCGTAAAGGTAATACGAGGCCCCGGTAGGAGGTGGGAGGGAGAGGAGCGCAGGAGGCAGAAGGGACTCGGCAATGAATCACTTTTAAAGGCTCACCCCTGCGTGGAATATGCGGCCCGACCGGCCGCCGACGTTGTTTGGGTTACGATACACTCCTCTTTTATGGAAATTTCGTGCTCTTTTTGCTCCCACGCGACTATCCGCGCTCATAACTAGTTTCTGCGAATAACGGCGGCTCGTGCGCGCGCACGAGCGCAATCTGTCCGCTGCCAGCGCGACGCGACAGCTAATTAAAAGTTTATACATATTAATATGCCAGGACCTTTGCCTCATGCGTTTTATCTCTGCGGTCACGCACGGCCGATCGTATATCGCTCCCGTCGAGATCCGGCGAGCGTGCATTCGCTCGTTCACTCGCTCGGCTCGTTCATGCCTCCGTTTCAGCAAAGCCAGGCCACGCAAAAAACGTCCTCAGCGCGCGCTCATCAGCGATTTGTGTCGGGACGCTCCTTCGGCAACGCATCGCGATCTCGCGGCGAAGAAGGGGGCAAAACCTGTCCCCGCTAGAGTCCTTACAGCAAGAGCCTGGCCCACAGCTTTTATATGCTAGATCGCTAATCCTTTTATATAGTGTATCAAAAAATAGGATACCGAAAAGTATGTATTGCATATTACTCGTTAAGTAGGATGGAAGAAAAATGGTGGTGGATAATACAACCGGTGTCTACAATCGATCAGACGTGAATGTTATATCACTTGTACGACGATTCTGTGGATATTTCTCGGTGCTATGTATTTCGTAGGAATTAGGCGGTCTAGTAGTGTATGTATAGAATTCTGTGGTCGAACTGGCCAAAGTTGCTGGTTCGACAAAACACGGCGTCGTAGGTAAACAAAAACAGTGCGGTGTGACCATAATATATCTAGACCGAGCGTTTGCCTTTATTTGAAGAGTGGTGGATGAGGTGCACGTAGAAAAGGATGTACCCTGTTTTATGTCTCTTGCGTTCTCCCTCGCTCGCGTGGTCTATGCGCGAATAAGAGAGAACGTCGGGGACACAAAACACAGAGCGCATGCTTTTCCACGAGCACTTCGACCTTCACCAACACTCGGTCTAGATATATTATGGTGTTACGCTGTAAAGGTATTGTGGATTATAAAGACATCTCATAAACAAGTAAAACAAGTGGTTTATAATATAATGTTCTAAAAGATAAAGTAAATATATAAAGAAAAAAAAAACACATTGTACGCAAAATAATTTCGTAACCTTTAATATCGTATTCAATATTCATTACAAGTTACAGAAATTTTGTAAAGAAAATGCCGAGTTGCTGCATGTCTAATTACAAGTTGTGAGAAACACTGATTACGAAAAAAATGAGGATGGCTTGCTTGTTAATTTAAAAAAAAAATCGTCAAAAAAATAAGATTCGCAACATGTACGAAATTCTCGGAATTCCTGTTTGCAAAGTACAGATTCACATGGACAGTGTCCATATTTAAATGTATTATAAGATATATATAAAACCTAACTGTGAATACCGGCCTAAGATTTCTAGTAATAAAATAATAATAAAACTACGACACTATGCGTATATACGATACTATTAAATAATATTATTTACCTTTTAATTAAAGTTGTATTTGTATATTTACACAAAGAAAACTGCTGAAAACAAGTTTGTTTCGTTATTGCTCGATTCCCACCAGTTAAGTGATACCGCGCGCAAAATATAGATTCGAGGCACCTTATTGGTTCCGCCATATTTAGTTAGACCCAATAGGATAGAAGAACTCTGGTCAGATTCTTATTACAGGCACTTTACTCCTGTGTAAAGACGCCCTGAAAGAACGCCTAGCGCGAGTAAACAGTAGCTCCACGAGATACCACGCGTTTCTTCGCGAACGTCCGTTCCCGCGCGCTGCCTAGAGAAGTGCGTAAATCAAAACGAGCGGCGAGATTTACGACGAGGTATGGATAAGGTATGCTTTACGCTCCCTCGTTAGTTGGTAAAACTGACGGCGGCGGCCGGTGTCGGGTTTTATATCAAATCGCGCGTCACGAGCATTAATCATGAATTCACCGCGATCGTCCCCGTCGTCGATTCTCGTCGGCCGTCGAGGGAAGCGAGGAGAAACGGAACACGATTCGTCAGAATTCGACGACGTCCTTGGATTCGCGCGGTCGCCCGGGGAAGAAAACGAAAAGACAGATCCGTCGTCGTTCGCAGAATCGCTGGGAAACTCTCGGTTACGCCTCGAATCCGCGATAAACTTCGGTAATTAATCGTCGCGCAGGATCCTCTCTCTCTCTCTCTCTCTCTCTCTTAGTTACGCTGAATTTCCGATGCGAATAATTATCGCGAGTTTCCGCCTCCCGCGGAGGACGGTACGTCCAAGTTTCGATTTATGCGGACGGGAAGGATGATTGTCGCGAGGTAGAACGCGATCGTGAATCCTAACCGGTGCCTTGGATCCTATAATCCCCTGCGTCTCTCTCGCACGAAGGAATTTATCTTAATTACGACGTATACGTGGAAACGCACTAAACCGAGCTCGTTGGCGATC